TTTCTATTATAATAATTAAAGTTAATATTATTAATTTGAATTTTCTATTATTTGAACTATCAGAATATATTACATCATATATTTTCAAAATACTCATATATAATTAAATATTGTAACATTTTACAATTTGAAGTAAATTAATTTTTTCAAATAAATAGTTTGAATAATTATATTGTTATTATAAATATGTTAACAAAGGAAGAACTAGTTATGATTCTAAATATTACTACATAAAAAAAAATCTTTAAATTATATAGAAAAATTTTAAATTTTTTTATCTTATAAATTTGCAAAAATAATTTATTAGTTTTCGTCTCTTCGAAGATATTCTATTGACAGAATAAATTATAGAAAAATATAAATATACCATTTCAAAGTGTTTTATAAATATATGTTAAAGTTAATGAGGTATTCCTGAAAGTAAACAAAGTATAAAATATATTTATTTATTTATTAAGTTATAAAATATTTACTTGTTAAGTTATAAAATAAAGTTGACACAAGTCAATAAATATTATTAAATATATTTTAAATTATTACCTTTTATTTGATATATTTTAATACAGTCAGATCTCTATACAGTCACCTTCCATACAATCACAAAATTAATAGTCACATTTTTATTTTTACCAACTGTTTTGATATTACTTTAACCTCCGTACAGGTACAAATGCATTATAGTCACTATCACATTTTTTTATTGACCACCTATATAAATTGTTTCCATAAAGTCACAAATCATATAAATGTCATGTAAATTTTATATTTTACAGATTCGATAATAATTTGTATTATAAATTGTTTCTTTATTATAAGTTTAATAAAATATAATTAAGTATGTACAATATTAATAGTTTAATAAAATGTAATTATATATGTATATTAATGGATATATATATAAGTTATTATTATTTATTATTGATATTATTGTTATAGTTTTTTTATAAAAAAAAATTGAATTTAAAGTGTGATGTCAATATTGGATTCATTAATACAACTAAAAAAAGAAATAAGTGAAGATTGTTTTTTATTTTTTTCTCTTTCAAAACATCATTTTTTTGAGTCTTTTTCGTAATGTCATTAATCCATTCTCATCAAATCTTTGATAATTTATAACTTTTTCCAATACTTCAACAGCTTCAGTAATGGTTAGAAGTGGTGATGGCAATTCCTTATCATCATCAGTTTCATCATTATTATCATTAAATTCATTAATTACCATTTCAATAATACCTTCATCAGTTAATGGATTTTTAGTTGAAACAGGTTAATCAATTACATGAGTATATTCTTCAATATGATTTATTAATTGTTGGGCTTCTGAGTTAGTTTCAACTGGAAGATCATTAATTAATATAGTTATAGAATTGATCTCATTTTCTAACTTCCTTTCTTCTTCATTTATTCTTGATTCATTTATTTCAAATATAATCTTAGTTGTTCCTCAGCAATTTCTTATGGTAATATCACTAACATCTTCCCAGGTTTTAGCAATAAAACCAATAGCTTCTTTTAGAATAAGTTTTCTATATTTATAAATGATTAGATAAAATAATACAAATATATAAATATAACTGTATAAAAAAAAATTCTTACTTTTGTTTGTAATTCTGAAAGCAAATGACAACAATATAACTTCTTATATTTTGATTTGAAACTTTGAATAATACCAGTATCCATTGGCTAAATGTGAACAGTCATATTTGGAGGAAGAAAATATACAGTAATGTTTGTAAGTCTTGATCTTTCTTGTGACTTTCCTTGCGATCTTCCTTGTGATCTTTCTTGTGATTTTTCTTGTGGTTTTCCTCATGGTCTTCTTCACAATCTTCCTCCTGGTCTTCCTTGCAATTCTTCTTAGAGCTCTTCTATTTTATCAATAGAATTATTCTCAGATGACATTTCATAATCTATATTATCTATATCATCATCCCAAGTTTCAATTGTTTCCGGAGCAATATGAGAAGTTGTATTATCGACAAGAAGTAAGGCCTGCTGATCTTGAATATGAAACCTCTCATCTATATAATGCAACCATTGTTTTCAAATATTACTTTTCATCCATACTTTTTTGTTACTTTTATATGTTATTGGTAATTGTAAAATATTTAAACTATTAAAGCATCGGGACTTTTTAGAAGTGCCAATAACCAGTGGATAAAACTTATGAGAGCCAGTCTAATTGGAGTAAAATAATATTGTCACTCTTACTTTTTCCTAATAGAAAATATTGTTATTATTTAATTAGCTATTTTAATTAATTTTTTTTTAATTCACCTTTTTTTTCCAGCTATCAGTTTTTTAGAAAGCATCTAATTGGAAAATAATTGGTAAAATAAACCTGTTTCATCGGCATTATATATATCTTCTGAATTGTAGTGAGAAAGAAGTTCTTGTAATTTTCTTCATTCTTCGGGTAACTTTTCTAAAGGAGCACTTGCTACTTCACCATACATTATAGTTTTTTTTAACCCATTATGTTTTTTAAATTTAGTAGCCTACCTATTTGAAAATGTAAATAATTCTTCAAGTATAGAAAATGCTTCTGCAAAATGGTGGGCTTTCTCCTTTATTATTGAATCTGATATAATTATTCCTTCAGTTGTAACATGTTCTACCCACATATTTATAGCAAGTTCTAACATTGGGTATTTCACAGAACGATAACAAAAAGTTTTTTCAGCATACACATTATTATCTTGAAGTTGATATTTATTGGCTTTTTTTAATATTTTTGATACAGTTGAGTATTTAATCTTTAGGCCTGAATACTGTTCCATAAATTCGTTTGCTATTTGATGTTATTTATAAAATAGGTTCTTTTTAGCAAATTCACATATCTCTTTTTTTTGCTTGTTACTAATGTAACAATATGTTTTTTAGAGATGGATTTGGGAGGTATGAAAAATTGATCAAAATTTAGAGATGATCAGATTATATTTTTTATTCAAACATTCGATCAGCTGATAAATTTCTATAAAAATACTTTATATAGTTACACTATAAATTTTTTAGTATAACTGTGACTATATAGAGAAACTCTCTATAATAGTCACAACATTATATAGTCACAGTTTTTTGTATCTCAATGGTGTGACTATATAGAGATCTGACTGTATAACAATAACAAAAATACAAAGAAATAAATTTATTTCTTTTTAAAGAATTTCGTATAGATTGTTTAGAGAGAGTAAAAGTAATTATTCTGAAAATAAACAAAAAAATACATAGTTAAATAATAAGTCATATGAGATAACTGATCTTGTTGCACAAATAAAAAAACATTAACCTTTGAAAAAAATTTGAAATGATAATCAATGATATGATAAATTTCAAAAGATATCAATGTCGATCAAAAAATATTTGTTAATAATACCATAGGCAAAATTCTATACTTGCAATATTCATATGATAATAATTATTCTTATTTGAAAATTTTATTATAAATATTATGTATAAATGTTTGTAATATTTAAATAAGACTAATTCAAACTTATTGTAATTATTGTCTAGTTATTCTGAAAATCTTTAACTATAATATATTAAATCATCAAAGGTTTAAATTTTGGATCAATATAATATTTAATAAAATTATAACAATAATATAATTACATTCAGTGAACATAAATACTAACCTTAATTGTTGTAATAAATTTTGAAAGATATTATTAACAATGCAATTTTGCTACAATAAATTTCAAAAGATATTGTTAACAGTACAATGTTGATTAAGATTACTACAATAAACTTCTGAAGGATATCATTGACAGTACAAAGTCAATTAAAATTATTGCAATAAACTTTGAAGAATATCATTGACAGTGTAATGTCAATTAAAATTACTGTGATAAACTTTGAAAGACATTGTTAACAATATAATATCAATTAAAATTACTGCGATAAATTTCAAAGGATATCATTGACTGTATAATGTCAATTAAAAATCACAGCAATATAAATGCAATTGATAATCATCAAAATGATATATTATGAATATCTAATATAAACGAAGGTTATTGATATGAAATTACTACAAAAATAATAATATTTGCAAAATTTTGCACATAAAGATATCAAAATCAATAATCTTCAAAGGTTATTGATATGGATTTACCATGAAGATAATAATATTCATAAAATTTCACACATGAAAATATCAAAATTGATAATCTTCAAAGATTATTGATATAAATTTATTACGAAAATGATAATATTTGTAAAATTTTGCCACGTGAAAATATCAAAATTGATAACCTTCGAAGGTTAGCAAAGATCTTCAAAGGATAACATATTGAAAAACAGCAAAATACTTATGTTAACGTTAACTTTCGAAGGTTTTTATTAGAAAAAATTTCCTGATGCAGGTATTCTCACGAGTTAGCAAAAAGTAAGGTATTATATTTGAATGTTTTTCATTTTTAAAAAGGTATATAAATATATTTTCAAGAAATGTATCTATTAATAAATATTTTTTTTCAATTGTATATCTCAAAAAACTAAGTTTTTTTTTTTAAAAGAATAATAAAAGAATTAATATAATGAATTATTTGTTCTGAAGTAAGTTGAAAAAGTAAGTAAAAGTGAGATATTAATTTATTATTTAAATGTATATTTCTTTTATAATTTATTAAATTTTTATAACTTGCAAAAGTTTTAAAATAGAACTTGTTATATATTTTATTTGTTATTATTATCACATGTATTGAAAATGATAATTGTATATATTATTATTATTATTATCACATCACATTAGGTTACATGATCATCAACTATGAGATAAAATTAAATATGAGAAAAATTAGTTCATATATAAATAATTTTAGAATTTATATAATTTATATTTAATAATAATTATTCAATAAATTTTATAATTACATCAACTAATTAGAATTACATTATTATTTAACTTTTATATTAGAATTTAATCTTTATACCAGAATTTAACCATTATATCAAATTAAATTAGAACTAATTTCTAAACTCAATTGACTAAATTAAATCTGATTAAATTCCTAACTCAATTTATATTATATCTATTATCTTTAATTCTGTCTTCTAATATTTTAAATTATTTATTTTTATTTTTATTTCAGTTTTTTCAAATATTTCTCTTTGAGCTACATGTCTTGTTAATATATCTATTTCTTCTATATATTCTCCAGGTATTTGTTATTGTCCATAAGATTTTTTTGTATAATTTTTTTCTTTTACTAACTTATATCTTCAAGGAGTTAGATTTGTTTAAAATTATTATAGTATATTCAATTATTTTTAATTTATTGATTGTTGTCATGATTGTTTTTTACCTTTTAATTAGATAGAATATTCAAGATTTTTATAAGTTTTTCTAAACTTTTACCATACATGTTACTATTTAATATAATACTAATTTTTTAATAGTATTCTTTTTAGTTTTTCAATATATATATTATTATTAATTTTTTCATTAAATATTTTTATTATTTCATTAAATTCTATCATTTATTATTACTTTCACCTTTCTTTTTTTCTTTTGTTTTTCATATTTCTTAAATAAATTTTTATATTCTTTTGGATTGTTATATAATTTTTGATTAATTATTTTTTTATTTTATTCATAGTTCTATAGTACAATATTATATTTACTGTACAATATTCCTAGTGTCCCTTAAATTCTTTGTATTTTTGACAATAGAATAACAAAATCTTTTTATTCCAAATAAATTTTTTAGTAACTTCATACTTTTTCTCTATTAATAATTTTTTCCATATTCTTTGTCATTCTTCCTGTTCATTATCTACTTGTCTTTCAAGATCTTTATTAATCTTTTTTATTTGTTCTAGTTGTTGTGTTAATACTTCATTTTTCTTATTGAATTCTTTAAGTTATTGTTGAAATTTATTTTTTTTACTTCTTATTTTTTTCTTTTGTTTCTGTTTCTTTTTCTAGGAAAATAATCTTTAACAAATATTTTATCTCACCTTCTTGTCATTTTCATTTCTTTTGTTTTTCTGTTAATTCTTTAAATATTTTTTTTTATATTTTCCTATTAATTTTTTAACTTTAAACTCTACTATATTTATTTTTAAAAAAATTATCATTCTAACAAGATAATTCACCAATTCATATTAAAATAAAAAAAATTATAATTATAAACTGAACAGCAAATTTATCTAACTTAAATCCTATAGATAATATTTGAAAAGTATTAAAAGACAATATTCAAATTAAAAATTTTTTTAAAAAATAATAAAGTATTAACTAATAATAAAAAAAAAATTTATGTTTATAGTATAAAATTAAAATGAATCATATACATAATAAATTTTTATTTTAATAAAAAATTGGGCATTACTTTCTAATATAACTTTATATGTTATTAAAAGTAAAAAGCCTTTGACTCAATTTTAATTTTTTCAATTTACTATATAAAAATGAAAAATTTATTTAGCTCAATTTCAATAATAATCAAATACAAAAGAATTACTGTACCAAAAAGAAATTCTGATTTTACCTAATTTATAATATAGGATGTAATAGGATGGTCAATTTTTAATAATTTTTAATTGATTTATAATATAGAAATTACTATTTGATACAGAAATTCTTTTGTATTTGACTAGTAATATGCATAATAGTTACATTATATTATTATTAATATTTTTATTATAGATAATATAAAATTACTTTCATGTAATTACCAAATAATAATTAAGTAATTACCAGATGACAAATAAATGTAACAAATATAATTCTAAAAAAACAAGTTTAAAAAATATATAATAAAAATCAATTTTTAATCTTTAAGGTATTAAAATTTTAGAGATAACTATTTTATATATGGAAATAAAAAAATATTCAATTTAATATATTTTCAATAAAAGAATTTATCTGGATGGTCAAAAATTTAATTTTAAGTAAAATTAAATCATTTTCTATGAAAATTATTTCAACTTTCAAATTTCAAAATATTTTGACTTATTATGATAGTCTATTTTATAATGTTATGTAACAATTATAAGAATTATAGAGATGAGAAATTCACAATAACTTTTTTCTTTATTATATTATCACTAGTCAAATACAAAAGAATCACTGCTAAAAATCACTAAAAATCAACTGTCCTATTGCATCCTATATTATAAATCAGCTAAAATCAGAATTCCTTTTTGGTATGGTAATTCTTTTATATTTGACCTGTGTATAATTTATCATTATAATAATTATTATCACTATTATTATTAATATTATTATCACTATCATTGTTATATACAATTTAAAGTTATCATTTTTTGATCATTTAACTTTAAATGATTAAAAATACCTAATTAATTAATATTTTTAAAAAAACATCTGTTAAATGATAGATTGAACAGTTATTTCTCATATAATAGAACCTTTTTTTATTAAACATGTTCTAACATACAAATTTTTTCATTTAAAATGGAATGTTTTATTAAGGAAACTATCCTGAAAATTTTATAGAAATTAAAAAAGGTGAATGTTAATCAATAAGAAATCATATAATAAAACTAATTTGGATTTGTTAAAAAAAGTCTCAATAAAAAGTAAAATTTAATGATTCTAAGAAGATTTTGAAAAGACTATAGATAAAATTACACAATTTGCATTTGATATTATACTTGAAATGTAAAAATAATCCTGCAGTTTTTAATAATACATGCCTATTAACTTATCATAGAAATTCTACTTGAACAAAAAGCAAATGCAAAAGTTTTCAAGAAAAGGTTTGCTGAACATATTCTAACACTGTTTTGTCATTAAATAAAAACAACAAAAATTTTAATAATTTAAATGAAATAATTGAATGAAGTGTTTAATTTAGCTTTAGAGAAATTAAATTAAATTTATTAATTAAAGATATATCTTTAGTTTACCAAATTAAAAATCGTTTGCAGCAAATAATTCAATATATAAATTTGAGATTAGAGTAAAACAATAGTAATCGACATTGGTAAAGGTGAATATCAAGCACGTTTAATTAGGACATGGATACAAAATTTGTAATGTATCATTAAATTCCAAAACAGAATGTATCAAAAATTAAAAATTTATTAGAGAAGATATTCATCAAACAATTATTAATATCTTTGGGGAGAAGGTCGTAATGTAACTGTAAATAAATTTAAAGAAGCTTTTTAAAGTGTTGGAATTGAAAATAAAAAATTAGAAAATATGTTCACGTTCCTGTAATCATGTAATATCATCCAATAAAATTCGATCTATGTGATTAAATATAATGTATAAAAGGGTTACGTGACCAAGTTAGAGAAAATTTTATAATTTTACTTTATTAATGCCGTAAAATATCACCAAAAAAGTTTGTTTTATAACAATAAATGGTACAAAGAAAAAAGATTGTTTTTTAAAAAAAGTATGCTTATTAATAAAAAGAAAATTATCTAATAAAAAAAAGAAAGTTATTTTACAAACTAATTATAATTAATACTGTATATTCTAAATGCATTTAAAAAAATTTAATTCATATCTTAAAAAAATAAAATTTGGTTTCTTTCTTTTTTTTTATTGAAAAAGAAAAATTTAAATTTATATAAAAAATAATTTATAAAATTAATTAATTATTTATTTATTTTTAATTTCTTGTGACATTGGATGCAATAGTTGCCCATCTTGCTTTCAAATCGAGGAATCTAAAAAAAAGATGATTATTATTTAATTATTAATATATTATTATAATAATAATAGTAATTATTATTATTATAAAATACTCACTTTCCAGTACAGCTATATCCATGGAAATCTATTTAAAAAACGAAAAAAGTTTTTTTTAAAATTCAAAGTTTTAAAAATAAATAAATAAAATAAATAAAATATAAATAAATTACCAAAACTATCATGAGGATTACAGTGACATTTCAATTGTATTTTTTCATCAGCGGGACAATGCGAGAATGGTTCATGACGGTATCCTATGTCGTTAAAGAAATGGATTTGATGTTTCTTTAAAAATAGAGAGGCAGCAATTGAATGAACAGGTGCATCTCCCCAACTATCACAAAAATAATAAAGAAAATAATAACAATTTAGTATATGTAATTAATTAATTATAATCATAATTATAATAATCAGAATAATAATTATATATTACCGTTCATAAAAGAATCCACCTTTTGAATCAAGGAAACTAAAGAATTTCATGTATGCTTCACTTCTCCATAAATTCAAATCAGCAATTTCAAAGTTTGACCAGAAATGACATCTGTTGTGATAAATTGAATCAGTAGGTAAATAATTAATTAAAAAGAAAGAAAGAAAGAAAAGGGAAAGAAGAGGAAAAGAGGGAAATAAAGAGGGAAAGAAAGAGAGAAAGAAAGATGGAAAGAAAGAGAGAAAGAAAGAGAGAAAGAAAGAGAGAAAGAAATAGAGAAAGAAATAGTGAAAGAAATAGTGAAAGAAAGATGGAAAGAAAGAAAGAAAGAAAGAAAGAAAGAAAGAAAAGAAAAAAAGAAAGAAAAAAACATACAAATTATAAGTTGCACCACCATCGCTTGATATAAAGTCCATCAAATTATCCTTTTCGATATATTGTGGATATAATTTACCGAATTCTCTAACACTATCCCATAATGTTGGTATGGTTTTGGGATATTCGTACAATGAAATAGTAAAACCTATCATTATGTATAAAATGTATATATTAACATCAATTATATATCGTAATACATATATAATTAAATATAATGAACCAATAATAATTAAATATGAAATAATTATAATTACTGTATCTAATATCATATTTCTTCATGTATACGAATGGATCATAGTCCAAATCACAATAGAATTGAACTCCAGGTTCAACACGCCAATAATAATCGTATTTATCTAATAATTCATGACGATAGAAGAATCCGGATTCAAATCTAAAAAAAAAAAAATTTAATAATGAATAATAAATATGTAAATATGAAGAATTGTGTAAAGAATGTAAAGAATATAGAAACATTTTATATGTGCGTGATGAACGAACCTGCACATATGGCGATAAGGTAAACTATCACCATATAAGACTTGTTCTTCTCGCATCTTTTCCATATTTTTCCTGACAATATTCATATCAATATCCATGGGAACACTCCAATGTTCTCTAGGAATAAGTCCTATAATTTATATATTTTTAGATATATTTAGATGTACATATATATTTATTTATATATATATATATTAGATATGTTTTTGGATATATTTTAATATTTTTAGATATTTTTAGATATTTTTTTATATATTTATATATGAATAATATGCAAACAAATGAATAATTTTTTAAAATTATTAAACAACTCACCATATTCTGTCTTTCCTTTAGTCATTGCGCTAGTTAATTTTACAAATTCATCGCTAAATGGTTCATCATTCAAGAATACATAAGGATAATTATATTTATGATTAAATCTATCTTCTAATTGTCTCATTGAGGATCGAAAACTATGTAAATCACCATTTCTAATTAATACCACAAAGGCCGCTTTCGCTTTCCCAATTTGAGTTTTAGTTTTATTTGGGTCATTAATAATTTTTTGATCTTGAATGTAAGTATCATCTTCTGATGTGTCTAAATCAGTTACAACCCATGGTCTTGAAAACCCTGACTTTGGGTTTACAATAGTCAGTACCCAATGAAAACAAAATATGGTGGCAATAGCAAAACTAAGATATTTTAAGTTATTTCGTTTAAACATGATGGACTCTATCTTTTTTTTCATATTTTATTTGAAAGTATTTTGGTAGATATTCTTGTAGAATATCCTCGTGGAATATTCTTGTGGATATCCTCGTAGAATATTCTCGTAAAGTATTCGTGCAAGTACTGCGAGTATTTACTAAGTATTTGTTGAAAGTATTTGAAAAAAAAAAAATATAAATAATTGAAAATTATTCTAATTTTTTTAATTAAAAGAAATTTATATTGTCACACCAAAAATATAATAACAAATAAATTCTCAATGGCATAAATGGCATACATAAAAAAGTATTTTCAGTCCAATAACATTTAATTAATTAAGTCAATTAAATCAATTAATCAATTTGATTGGTAATTGTTAAAAAATGGCAAAAAGAAAAAATGTCGTACTCATCAAATTCTTGTTTCCTAAATTTTTAAATTCATTGTTATTGTTATTATTGTTACAAAATATTTATTATTATTTATTTATTTGAGAAAAATTTCTTTGCATCTAACAAAATTAACAAATATTAACAACGAATGCTAATAATAATGAATACCAATAATAATGATTACTAATAATGCTAATAATGAACTAGTAATAATAATACTAACGAGAGTACACTAACGAGTACGTATACGATCTTGTTCATTCCAACACCTAATCTTTTTATCTAATTCCCAATTTACAAGTTTAGGATCAGGCGATGAAGAAAATGGCAAAGAATTCCATAGAGTTTTGGCAACGAATTGATGAAGTTTGGTACTTTTTTTTTTTTAAAAAAAAAAAATATATATATATATATCAGATAATAAATAAAATCAACAATTGACAAAAATAAAAAAAAAATAAAATAATAAAGATTTCATCTTTACCTCGGATGAAAACAATCAACACAACTAAGTGAATCAATTGGAAAAGAAGTTAAATTATATTCAAAATGATGATTAATTACTGCAAATGTATTGCTGGGTTGTTCTGAATAATAATGAACTATCCTCTTGATTGCTTCGTTATATTTACGACCAAGTTTATCCATCTCTTGACGATTATGGACTCCTATTGGACCTGCAAATATTAACAATAATTATTTATAATAATTAAAAAACTTCCTTGCGAGCTTGAGGAGGAGAGATAAAGAGATATATATAATAACAATAATAATAATAATAATAATAATAATAATAACCTTCAACAAATGCACATTCACACTCAAAATTCGGCAATGCACCTAATTTCGTACAATATTTTGTTTGTCCTTTGGTAAGATCATAAATTTGAGACACATTAAATTCATCCATTATATTTATTATCACATTGGGAATATTTAATCGAATTTTTTCGATAGCATTCATTAGATATCTTTCGAATTTTTTTTCAGTAATCCAAGGTATGCTGTGACTACAAATTAAACATATGTCATTGGATCCTATGAATAAGTTTAAAAACTTACATACATACAGCAAATAATAAAAGTAGTGTTAGTATTGTATATCGTTATGTATATATATCGCGCATATCGCATGTATATCGCATGTATAGTATATCACATGTATGTATATCGGATCGTTAAAATTATAATTACTTTAAAAGAACTTTTAAATTCTTCAGACTCCTTTTCATATTGAGATAACAAATAATCAATCTCATAGTCAAGATTTTTTACCATTGCACCTGACAGTGCTGCATTAAGATTATCTAGTTCAGGATGATATTGTTTAGGTGGACAAAGTATTCCTGTAATAATGGCAGGCATAATGTAAATAAGGTTCAAAAAATTAAATGAATGAAAAAAAAATAAAATATTTTATATATACCATAACAAAATTCAATTATATGATTTCCTATTGATGCACCTCTTAATTCAGGAGAATAATGTTTATAGAAATTTGCCAAACTTATTGTACCATCATCACCACCCATAGCATAACTAACTCCTCGATATTCATATAATTCTTCTAAATGATTATTATCACCACCATTATTTTTACATTTTGCGCCTGCGCCAAATGCTGTTGTAATACTATCCCCCAAAGCTAATATTAATTTTATATCATCAGGACGTAAATCGTGTACACTTGTAGGTAAATTATTATTATTATTACGTGAATTTAATTTTGGACATTCATTTATATTTGTTACTAATAAATTATCATTATTATTAAATGTTGAAGAAAATATAATTTGTTTATTGTTGTATTTATCGTACTTGGAGATGTTATCCTCTTGGGTATAAATAATTTGAGGAAGAGGAAAAATTAATAATAGTACTTGTAATAATAATGAAAGACGATTCATTCTTCTTTTTTTTTAAAAAAAAAACAAAAACAAAAAAATACCATCTAAATACTATCCGTTTTAAATTTTGATAATAAAAAAGAGATTAGATTGTTTTCTCAATTATCATCTAACAGTGCAATGTGTCAATGATGTAACCACTGTTAACAATAGAATGTCCATAAAACTATTATGGTGGAAAGTTGTTCAAATTTAATTTAATTGTCTGGAATATTTAAAAGTATTATTATTTTAAAAATATTTTATTGTTCATGTGATCCCAAACATCTCCAAAACATATACACAAATATACTAATTAATTTGTCTTTTTTTTCAATAAAATTCGTCATAGAGAAATATGACATATGAAAGATAGAAGAAGAATCCGAGAGATAAGGAGTAAAATATTATGATTTTGTTACGAGATGGAAAGGGTCTTTGTTATAAGGTGATTATTGAGATGTAACAAGATAACAAGACGCGCGCATTTTATGGTTTTTCGATTTTCCTTTCTTTGGAAAATTTATGTTTTTTAGGCAAAAAATTCTTGCCTATTTTAACGAGTGATTATAGAGAAATACTTTACATAGAAATATTTAATTTCAGAATCATAAATATATAATCGGAGATAATCGTCGATGGTTACTACATATAAACTTTTTATTTTATAAGTAAATATTAAAAATGGTACCAAGTAACCTCAAAAGCGAGAATAATGTGCGTCATCTATAAAAAGCTCAGACCTATATCGTTAAAATTGGGAGAACGATCTGCAGTTAAAGTTCGAGCGGATGAAACGATAATCATTTAATGAAATAGACCTACCATTCTTTACTTAATGTTTTTGATATACACTTATAATATAAAAAGTTTTATATGTAGTAACCAGTGATGTTGATTGGAAGATTGGAAAGCATTGAACTTCCAATTCCAATCCATTCCAATAATGGGTTCACCCATTGGAAGATACATTGGAATTATCATGTGTTTTATTGGTCGTTAATTGGTCAATCTAATATTATATGATCAATAAAAAATTATATTTTCGTAGCCAATACGACAAATTACCAAAAAAAATTTATTTAATAAAAAAATACGGTCACAAAATATTCATACTTGACTCTTTATTTCAATGCTATTAATTCTTTATTTACAATTATATTAATGTTAGTATAATATACTTCATAACTATTATTATAATTTGAATTTACCGAAATTGCTCCTTATTTTACCTATATATAATATTAAATATTATTCAAGTAAATAATCGGGAGCACTAAATAATGAATTAAATAATGTAGTCAAATTCCATTTTGCACTTGGATCAACTGCTGGATGGATATATTCATCAAGTAAATTATCTAAATTTTCTGAATTACCCCTATTTGCCTCTTCTTCTTCCTGGTATGCTGTTTCCTCTTCAATAAGTGATTCTTCCCATTCACACAATTGTTCTTCCCATTTTTCCACTGTAAGTATATCTTCTTGAGTGGGATCAGTTTCCATTTCAAAAGTAACTTCTTCAATTTGTGAATCTTCAATATTATCTAAGTCGAAATTATTTGATTTATCAATATCAATAGGAGAAGCTTGTGATAATAATGGATCAGGCTCTAATTCTAATTGTTGTTCATGTATTTCATTAAATATATTTTCAATTTGCTTTAACTTTTTTGTACACATTGAATAATTAATTGATGCTCGAAGTTGACTCATAGCCAAAACTTTGTTATTCTATATTGTTTAATAAAAAAATATTAATATTTAAAAAATTTTTTTTAGTAAAATATGAATGATATTTACTTTAAGGCAGTTACATCATACAGAATATAAAAAGCTCATTGATGATCACATTCTTTCAACTGAAGTGGCATTTACACAAATACCAAAAAGTTTTAATGCTACTGCTCCTAATTCTCTTAAATCTTGTACACAATATTGCCAAAATTGTAAAATATCATTATTGAATTGTTCATAAGTTACATTATCAAAGGGATATTCTTTTTGACAAAAATTTTCTAGCTCAAGAAGAATTCTAGTTGGTCATTTCTGAAACTAAGCCTTATAATAGTAAGTTAAATATCAACCAAGTGAAGTATATGATAAATTTCTATTATATATATTAAAATAATGATTACAGTATCTTGGATGTAATAAAAATGAAAGCAAAAGAAGTGATTGCTTCCAATCTTTCCATCTTCGTTGTAAACGATCTACCATTTTTTTTCAAAATTTAATCTATATATTCTTGTTAAAATTTAACCAAGTAGTCCATTCCATGTAATACTTCAAAGAGTTGAGACTTGTCACATTGCAATTTGTTAAGAATTATGCAGTATGGTTTAAGAATATTTGTCAGAATTGAAATTGTATTCCACCAATTAGTATCTTGAAGTATTTTGCAAATTTTTGTATTCATATATATTTCATTAGAATGCATATTTGTTTCTGATCTTTCATAACATATTACTAAATTCTAATAATAATTTGCAATAAATTTTTATTATAAAAAAAAAATTAAAAATTAAAAATAAATTAAAAAAAGATTAAAAAAAAAAAAAAACTATTTCTTACTCGTAATGCATTTTTTGATCTTAACAAGCTTTTATAACAAAAGAAATGACTATTCCATTATATTTCTTCTGAAATAATAATAAAGTAATATTTTGAATATAATTCCATTTTTATATCTCACAATTTGCCAATAAAAAAACTATTATTTGAATTTTTAAAATATGCCGCAACTGTTAATGCTTTTCCTGATGCTTGTTTTAGGTAATTTGATTCTTTAAAAATATCACAAATAGCCAATTGCAATTGATATGCAAAACAGGAAAGAAAAAAAAATATTGGGATATTTTAATCGTAAATGGTGTCTAATTAAAAATATAAAAAATTAATGTCTATTTATAATAATAATAATGATAATAAATTAAAATTATATACCATTGTTACCATGGGTTTCTTCCACTTTCATAATTTCTTATTATTTTATTTTATTTTATTCTTATTTATATTTATTTTATTAGTATAGTTATTTAGTATATTTTAGTATATTTAGTATATTTATTTATTAGTATTTATTTATTTA